GAATGTAATTCTTGGGCTTGAGAGCACGGAACTACCCTGCAGAACAAATTTTTCGCTAATCCAAAATGCCAGATTTGTTTATGTGCCACAGGCCACTTCTTTCCATGTTCTTATTCCAAGATGTTCCTCATTTCAGGAGGAGATCGCTCGTACCATAGAGAAGCTCCAACGTTGTTATAGCTCCATCTGCCACGAACTGGCAGTAGACCAGGCTCATTGTGTAGAAGTTGATGAACATCTTGAACAAGCTTGCAACCTTTCTGAGAGTAAGCGCAAGCATCTTATCCAGCAGAGTTCCATAATAGGTGGTTATTTTAGTCTTCCGTGGAAACTCCCTCATTATTGGATTACCAGCTCAGAGTTCTTTCAGGTCATCTGGAGCGCGTTGGTCTTCTAAGAAATGATTCCTCTGCTTGTATTTTGGAACTTGGTGCAGGTAAAGTGAGTAAGTAAACATTTTCAGTTTTTTTTAGCTTGAACTCTCATGAACTCAGCTGCCATTGCTTATCGGCCTGACGAAATTTCACAGGCAGCGAGTGCACGGGGAATTCCCATTCTGTTAGGGACCCGGGAGAATCTCGTCAAGATAACCTGTTCATTCAATAGTTAGTTCTAACTGGTCGGACGTCCCGTGAGCAAACCTAGTCCTGTGACCTGTGATTACCATTTTGCATTTCTCAGCTTATGAGATGGGTGTGAAGAGCGCAGTCTTACGATTGCAGTGGATACTGGTGACACTGGTTAAGAGTTCAGGAGTGAAGCCTTACCAGGGAAGTCCGCCAAATTACCATGGAACTTTGAATGGAGACCTGGGTAGATCGATAGAGTCTATAAGGTTATTTACAAATAGATAGCAAAACTGCAACCTGCATTTCACAAGCAACTTATGAGCAGGTAAAGTTTGTAATGGTGCAGTAGGGTGGAGCTGTGAAGCATAAGCGAGGAATCGCATACGTCGAATCGAGTCGTCGAACGTCGAACCTTACCACTGAACCACCACGACTCGATTCGACGTATGCGATTCCTCGCTTATGCTTCACAGCTCACCACCAAGCCTCCACCCTACTGCACCATTACAAACTTTACCTGCTCATAAGTTGCTTGTGAAATGCAGGTTGCAGTTATTACATGACCGAACATGTAAGTCGCCATCAGAGGGCGACGGTAGAACAACAACAAAAAAAAACCAAAAAAATTAAATTGAAACCTCTTTTGCC